ATGCATTTTTATATACGTTTCTTATTTCTTCTTAGGAAGAATTATCTGAAATTGATGATAAGGAGAGTGAACAAAAGAGAACAATATTTTACATTCTTTTTTGAGTAGTAATAAAAACTATCAGCAAATATCAGTTGTGATAATAGTTAAGGATTCTAGTTGTTATGATGGTCAAGGATAAGAATTGTAATACAAAAATAACATTATATGGATAACATGTGCTATGTATTGAGAATTAAAAGAAATCATTTCAAACTTGTATACAGTACATTTTAATAATTCATTCTGTTAAACACTTCATAGCAAGCATGGATGTATAATTATATAGTCTATATTGAGTCTACAGATATATGATACGATATATCAACAACAACAACAACAACAATAATAATAAAGTTGGAAGGGACCTTGGGGGTCATCTAGTCCAACCCTCTACTCAGGCAGGAAATCCTATACCATTTCAGACAGATGGCTGTCCAGTCTTTTCTTAAAAACTTCCAGTGTTGGAGCATTCACCACTTCTGGAGGCAGATTGTTCCACTGGTTAATTGTTCTAACCGTCAGGAAGTTTCTCCTTAGTTCTAGGTTGCTTCTCTCCTTGATTAGTTTCCATCTGTTGCCTCTTGTCCTGCCTTCAGGCGCTTTGAAGAATAGCTTGACTCCCTCTTCTTTGTGACAGCCTCTGAGATATTGGAACATTGCTATCATGTCCCTCCTCGTCCTTCTCTTCATTAAACTAAACATACACAATTCCAACTCTCACAGTTGCTACTATTGAGCAAGGTACCACCTATACTATACTTGTGCATTTGGTTTTTCTTGCCTAAATGTAGAGCATTACTTTTTTCACCATTGAATTTTATTTTGTTAGATAGCGCCCAATGTTCAAGTCTGTCAAGATCCTTCTGTATTTTAAGCCTATCTTCTGGAGTGTTGGCTATTCCTGCCAGCTTAGTGTCATCGGCAAATTTGATGAGTTCCCATCTGCCAGTTCCTTCAGAACCTTGGGGTGTAATCCATCTGGTCCTGGTGATTTGAACTCATCTAGGGTGGACAGGGGCTCACTTACCATTTTCTTGCCTATCTTAACTTGTGTTTCTAATCTGTTTTTTACGGTACTGTTTTTGATAGGTTGGACTGTTTTTTCCCTTTGTGTAAATACGGATGCAAAAAATGAGTTGAGTAGTTCTGCTTTCTCCCTGTTGCTTGTCACTTTCTTGCCACTTTCTCCCACTAATGGACCAGTCATTTCCTTAACTTTTTTCTTGTTTTTTACATATTGAAAGAAGCTTTTTTGTTATTTTTGACTTTTGTTGCAAGCCTTAGTTCATCTTTGTAGACTCGGGCTATTTGCTGATATTCTGCCTTAGTTATGTGCCCCTCTTTCCACTTTTTATACTTGTCTTTTTTGTCTTTCAATTTATCAGAGAGTTCTTTATGCAGCCGTGCTGGTTTCTTTTGAGAGCTGTTATTTTTCTTCTTCATTGGTATTGTGCTAGACTGGGTTTTTATTATCTCACTTTTCAAAATTTCCCAAGATTCTTGAGTTGTTTTGAGGATTCTCATCCATTGAATCCTTCCCAAGCTTTCTCTAAATTTGTTGAAATTAGCTCTCTTAAAATCCAAGACTGTAGTCTGACTGTGTACTATTGCTTGTGCTTGCATAATGTTGAATTCCAATATTACATGGTCACTACCCCCCAAGGTTCCTGTGGTTTCAACACCTATCATTTCATCTGTTAGTGAGAATTAAATCAATATGGCTGATCCCCTAGTTCCCTGCTCTACTTTTTGGGAGACAAAGTTGTCTGCTAGGTTTGTCGGGAATCTGTTTGATCTTCCACTTGGTGCAGAGTTTGTCTCTTAGTTGATGTCAGGGTAATTAAAGTCCCCCATTACTAATGTGATGTGCTTCCTACACGATATGATACGGTATGATAGCTTAGGAATGAGTATAAGTTTTAGGGTTTTTTCACTCAGCATGGCATTCACTCATTCATTTTTAATGCAAGTTTACCTCAGCCAAATTCTTAGAACTAAGATGGAATGGATGGAAGAACAACACTTTGATATAGTATCTTGTTCTGCAGAAGAAAATGCTGTAAATCTATAATCTTACTTTGCTAGGCTGTGGATTGATTAAAAATACTACACTTTTACAACATTCTTCTGATTCGTCCGAGTGCAAGAACATGTGGCAAATCATGCTTCATCTATTTCTGGAGTTGAACTATAATATTTAATATTGCTGATAATGATATTAATGTACCAAGATTTCACTTTTGTGAACAATGCAGAAGAGTAAGCGGACATGAAATAAATTATTTCTTTGTTCATGACACACCTCTGTATGTCTGCTTTTTCATAATTGCAAAACGATGTCTACTCATCATATTATTATTTTATGTAGTCACTCTTCAATCTTTTCTACAAACAGAAGATGTTAAATAGTAACTGAATTAGATTAATTTATGAGTTTTTTTTTGAACTACAGGTGATTTTTTTCATTTTTGGATTTACATACAGCCTATATTTATTAAATGGTTTCTTATCCACATAGATACTCTATGAGAATTTTTCTGTTCCTAAATTCATACTGATTTCATGTAGGTGACTCATTCTTGGCAGAAGTGTTCAATTTATATTTTAATTTAATCTTCAGTACTAAATGATGTGAAATTGCAAGTACAATTTAACATTGGTTTAGTTCACATTTTAGATTACTCATTGTTTTTGTACCTAGCAACCATTTGAAGCTTTCTTTCATTTAGCCAACAAGAATATATTAGATTTCAGTTTGAGTATATGAAGAATCTGTATCTAAGAAACAATTAAGTAGTTACGATTGATTATTAAGTCCTATTCAAGTGTTGGTTATGGGCTTGTCTCCTTGATATTACAGTACCTATTTCAGAAGGCAAAATAATTGGAATGTGATTTACAAATAATCCATTCAAGCTTATATATGGCTATGCAAAGTGGCTTTAGATTTTGGGCCGTGCTGGTTCCAAAACTATGCCATCTTTGGCACTGGAAGGGATTAGATGGTCCCAGATGAACCTGGTGCACAATCTTAGGATCTTCCTGGAGTCAAGACTCCTGCTCAAATAGTAGTTGGCAGTTATGGCTAGAAGGGCATTTGCACAGTTATTCCTGATTTGGGGGACTATGTTCTAATTACTCATCCCTAGTGCCTTCTGACCGGATACGCTGTGCTTAAGCTAGTGCAAAATGCAGTGGCACAGATAGTTATGTGTGCTTCTAAAACAGCAGCAGTTACTTGGTTCCTCCTTGCAATTCAAAGTGCTCGTTTTGACCTTTCAAATTCTTCATGGCATGGTGATGGGTCATTTGAGGAACTGACAATTGCTTATTCTACTTTTTACCTTGTTTCTTGGGCAACTACACTTGACGGCCCAAAGATTCTGCCCTGATGCCCACCTTATAAAACACTTTTTCCCCTGCCCTTGAAATGAGGTCAGCTCTATCTCTTTTTATATTCCGCAGATCTGTCAAGATCTGATTTTGTCATCAAGTCTAGGAATCTCAGGGAACTGGTGAGATCTTGAGATGGCTCTGTTGTCAATCAAATATCTGAAATTGCTTTTTTTTAAAAAAAAATACATAGTTTTTAAATCATTTTATTACTATAAGTTGCCCAGGGACACTAGGGTCAGTTCTTCTGAGATCAGCAGCTATGTAAATAGTATGTGTGTGGCCAGATACATATACAAACATAAACCCTAACCTCAAATAATTAATAATTCAATTTTTAATGATAGCTATCTCAGCTATTTTATTTTTAATTATAGTCAAGCTGCTAATAGATAATTTAAAAGGTCATTGGAAACAAAAGGAGCCTAATAATGTCATATTAGATATCAACAACCATTGATTTATTGACATCTCTTACATCCTCTTCTACCAATCATGCTTTACCTTTCCTCCATGCTAAAATTCCCATGACATTGGCTTGACATTCTGTGGCTGCTAAATGAATGCTGGTTTTGCTGAGTTTGATAGGTTTGTAGGCTATGGAATAAGGTTTATTCCTCTTCTCCAAACTAACATTTGATGTAATTTATGATTCCTCTCACCCACCAATATATCTCCAAATGCATCTCAGATTTAGAGATTAGCTGTAGAGACTCAGGGCCTCCTGGCCCAGTTTCCAGTTTCTTTTAAAGTCCTGAAACTATTGTTCCATTTAGATACTTAAGTCTTCAGGTTTTTTGCTTGAATATTAATGGCTTCTTTCTCTAAAATATTTTTCTTATTTTTGGATTATTTTATGAACTCTCAAAATAGCTTATTTCTCTTCCAGTTCAGAAGTAAATCTATAGAACCTGGAAACAATGGCTTTGTTTTAAAAATATTTGAACATAAATGGTGACATATCTAGATTGGTATTTTAGGAAATACCAAAGTATTGAATAAATACAATTATAAAAGTAATTGATGGTTTTAAGCTTATTAGTTTTAATCTTTCCTTTGGGAGGATTTAGACTGAATGAACTGAAATAAATGGTATTTAGGTTAACTCACTATTAAAATATTCCATCAATTTCACTAATGAAGTATAGTAGTTAAAATGCTAGACTAGGAGTGGGTAGATCCAGACTGAAATCATCATTCTGCCACAAAAATTCACTAAATGACTCTCAATCCAACCTGCCTCACAGGATTGTTGTGAGGATAAAATTAAAGGATGGAAAATTATATATATTGTCATGGGATGTAACTCCAATAACTAAGGCTAAGTGGGCCTGATGTAGATTCATTTTTTGTTATAAATGGAAAGGTATTGTACATTTTTAAATATTTGCATAATATACTTTTGTTTACAGAAGTACTTGTCCAATATCTTCCTAACTACTTAAACATGTATAATTAAAAAAATCAGTCTTTAGTTAAAAGCATACGCATTTATTGTTACAAAAAGAAACAAAGGTTGTACATATTTCAAAAATGATTCAGAAAGTTTACATAAATACAACACCTTTCTTTAAGTTTACATAAATACAACACCTTTCTGCTATTTATCAAAGCTGTCTTACTTTAGGCTACATATAAATAAAATATGGGGAAGCTGTTTCTTTAAAAAAAATCCTTCAATTAAATGATATTGTTATAACAGCAACTTTTTTTGGGGGGGGGAATCTCATCCAAAAACCTCAAAAATGTTGGGCTACTTTAATGAATAGAAATACTGCATTTGTTCTCTTGTGAAGTCTGATGCTTTTCTTCCTAATCATTTTTTAAGCTTGAACAACTTTATGGAAAGCTACATAAATGTATCATTTTTTTTCAATGAGTGAACACAATGAATGAGAATAAAAGTTCACATTAAAGATTAATTCATTTAGTTTCCTACCAAGTTGAACTATTGCAACTTAAAACTAAACTTCATTTCTAGAAATCATCTGGCTTGCTTGGATAACAGATGTAAGTATATGGTTCATACTTATAAAGGAAGAGGAAAGAAATCAAATTTCAAATCTGAGAAAAAAATACTGTGCATACAATTTTTAGAGTTAACTACATCGGAGAGAATTTAGGATGACGTCCTCTTGAATAAGGGTAGGATTGTAGCCTTTCTGTAAATTTGATAAGAATTTACATATAATAAACAAAGTTTATTAAATATTGTTTATTAAAGACAATTGTGTAAATATAAGCAAGCCTTTAGCTTTTCTCACATCTTCATATTTACTATTGATCCCCAGACAGTGTATGAATCAGTTTTTATTGCTGATAGTTTCAGCTGAGATGATATACTGTAAGAGTAATGCTAGTTTTATTTAGGAAATATATGTAATTTGATGGTAGATTTGAAATCCTTTATGTTGTGACTCACAGAGTGGCTGAAATATTATTTTAAATATACTGCCTGAAATATTTAATAAATGTTAAATATTTTGCATCAAAACAAAAACTACATATGCATTCTGTCATTTGTGTTTAATGCTACTGTTCTTACAAGAAAAAGGCATATCATAAATAACATTGTGGGGCTATTTATCATCTCTGTCTATCTCTGAATAGGAAGAGGAAGACATATAAATTTAATAAAGAAATCTACCTGAATTTCCGAAATCAAAACAGTACAATTACTTGATACTTCAAGCCAGTAATTTGTTTTAAGTCTGTACCTAAAATATTTATATTTTAAGACTGAAAAGCATTAATATCTGAAAAGAATGAAAATAAAAGTGGTTTAAAAGTGGTTTTCAATCTGAAATGTTTTACAAATGATTAGCTAAGTATCAGTTTAATGCATCCACATAAAGCAACACTGTAGTATCTATAATGGTTAATTTGTGGTTCTCTTTAAAAAAGAAATTAATATGAAAGATTTTTGCAATGTTATAATTCAGTAGATACCTGTGAAAGGTACACAAGGGTATGCTGAGCTCCCATTGTTGCCAGTGATGATTTTATGGTTAGATAATTTCTAGATTATAACAGCTGAAGTTGGAATTTAAACTCTTTCCCTCCTGATCATAATTTCTTAGGGAATGGAAGGTTCCCTCTGTCCTTAGCCAAATAAATACATAGTTAAACATCCCACGTTTCTTGGGAGAATTATGGAAATGCTGAACGAACAGCCTCACGAGTGAAACCTGCCTTGGCGAAGTTTGGCAACAGTTGAACGGACGCCTGAACGCCAGGAATTGCTTAAGTCAGGAAGGTAGCCTTTTCTTCAGTCGATTCCTTCCGCTTGGAGAGGCTATTTCCAAATCTGCATTTACTCTCCGACAAAAATGATGCTGGGGCTTGCCAAAACAGTCCCAAGGAAGTGAAAGGCTGGGGAGGAGAACCGGGCACTTCCCGGCGAGGCGTGTTACAGCGTTGAGCGTCGACTTTAGTTCCTGTGTGCTAAGCTTGAGTGCTAGAAAGGAAAGATGAAACATACCGACACTGAAGAACACGTCGATTAGCAAAGATAGAGGGGGCTGCCGTTTGTATCCTGGAGGGCTAGATCTACATTTGGCTGGCTCCTTCGTTCTTTGCGGGCTGGGCTAGGCTAGGCTGGGCTGGGCTGGGCTGAACTGAACTCTATCGCCTCTCTCCCCCTTGCGTACTCGCATCTCCAGCTTTTCAGCACTGGCTGGGCGGGTGTTGCGTCTTGCCTCTGCGCCTCCGGCTCCCGGTGGGGCGCGAGGGGAAACCAGGTCACCAACGCCGAGACAGAAAAACCGGCTTGGGAAGTGGGACTGATTTAGGTGCTGCTGCTCGCCATCAGGCTGGGAGGTCGAAAGGGAAGCGGAGGATTCTCTCCCGCATCCCACTTCACCCGTATTGGCACCTTTTAGAATAACAAGCACCAGTAAGGGAAGAAAACAGGCCGGAACGGCAGCAACAACAACCCTTGATCCCGGCTGCGGAGTTGTTTTCGGTGAGTGGGTTTGCTGTTGTGTCAGATTTATCTCCTTAGACTCTAGGCAGGAGTTCCCAGCTGGACTTAACCGAAACGGGAGCAGATGTGATAGCAGATGTTTGGAAACGGGTTATTTTTAGAAACTGGCTGGGGTCGTCTGAAACGCACATTGGAGGGGCTACTTTAGCTGAGGGGGAGGGGAGGGGAGGGAAATGGTACAGGACCTCAGCAATCGTATTTCCAAGGATCTGTGTTCGTCAAATGTTTTCATTTCTATGTATTTCAGTCGCGATCAATCAGCCGAGGATGGAAGAGATAAACTGCAGATTTCTTTTCCTCGCGTTCCTGTACGTGAGCGTATATGTCTGTGTTTGACTTTTTTTTCCTTCCGAGAAGTGAATCGGGGTTTTCCACCTTAGCTCTTGACAGAATATGTCATCGCAGGATTTTTCACTTTATTAAAAAAATAAATTAAAAAAAAAAAAACAATAGCTGTCCCGCCCAATGTGTACTTAGTTGTCTAAAGTATGTTGCTTTTTTGTTTGTTTTTAATGTCTGTGGCATAGTCGGTGCAGTCGCGATGGACGGAAAGAGTGGAAGTTTCCATGATGAGTAAGTTATGTGACAAGGGATCTTGTAGGAAGATGTTCTTGCAGCAACTCGCGAGAAACGGGTTACGCTGCAGATTGGGGGAGAGAGAGACTCCGGGTGTCTGACATGTTTGTGTGGGCGTCTGTTGAAGATGCTTCAGAAAAAAATGGTGGGATGTGGGGTTTTTTTGTTGTTGCTCTTCTTGATTTTGTTTTAAAGTTTTCTGACTTGTATGTCAGCTGAAATCTTAAATAAATATTTTTTAGAACTGAGGTCAGGGTGCTTTGTTCTCCAACAAACTCAAATCCTTGTGTAGGAAGACTTTACACAGGATCAGGTTTCAATAGCTAATTTTTTTTAAAAAGCAGTTGACGCTGAGATCTTCTACAACTAATATATTTATTATATGATTTTATACTTCATTTTCAGATCCTCCTCCTCCTCCTCCACCTCAATTTACAACTGTATCTAAAGTAGCAGCCTTTTAAATAATCAGCAATATTACATGTATTTCTCAGTGTTCTGGGAAATGTCAAGAGCAGCCTTGATGGTTATCCAGAGGCATTATTATACAGCTGATAAAACAGCTTTTGGCAGCCATCAGATGTGCTGGGTTTAGTTCCATTGTGGCCTATGGGGAAATCTAACAATTGCAAGTCTAATTGTTGCAGGTTCAAATGAAATGGCAGGTTCAAATCTTAGAACAGGATTGGCAAGATAATGGTTCAAGGCCCTACTCAAGCATGTACTTTATTGGGCGATTTGAGCCAGCTTGTTTTCCATTTTGCCCTTACACTTTCAGAGAATCCTGGGAGTTGTAGTTCAAATTCATCTGAAGAAAACCTAGGAAGCCTACTAGGAGTAGAGTAGAAAGTTGAGTCTGATCATCCCCAGATTTAATCCAAAAAGGCAGCTTTCCTGATTTGGAGCCCTACAAATGTTTGGTGCTATAACCTTTCCTTTGTTCAACAAAACAGTTACAGTGCAATATATCCAGAAGGGCGCAGATTGAGGCAGTATTCTACAACTATTATCACTAAAGCTAATAACATGAGAGTGGTTTACAAGGACAATGAAAATATTTGTTTCCGAAATAGCTATCATTTTCTTTCCTTATTTTGGTTACTGTATAGGTTTGCATATAGATATTCATTAATCATTAGTCTGATAAAATCTGTCATTTTCTTCTAAAATGAAGTGTGTTCTTCTTGAAAGCCAGTTCTTCTTCTTGGACAGTTTGTCCCAACAACACCCTTTTCAGAAGCATGTTTTGAGCAATCCAGTAATGAATTTAAGCATAGGAACATTAGGAGTTGTTAGTCAGATCATTGATCCATGTACCCCAGTAATGTCAACATTGACAGAGTCAGAGCTGAATTATAAGATTTATTTGGTTTTGGTTTAGTGTGTTCTAGTATATAATACGGAAAAGACTAGTTGTTAGTATAACATGAAAAATATTAATGTCTTGTGTTTTATCAAATAAACCATATTTCTGATATCTGAAGCCATGCATTTCCTGAGACTAACATTACAGGGTTCCCAGTGGAGTTTTGTAATTCTATCTGAAGACACTAGTTACTATTTTATACGTAAACAATATTTTCTGCCTTAATCCCCTCTCATAATCTTTTTAGAATACAGAAAACACTATGCTGTTTACTTCTACTTGTTATGTTTTGAGTCTCAGTAAACAACAAATTGATATCCAATTATAAATTTAAAATTTAGCAATATTTTTCTCTTTATAAATTAGTCTAGGAATTTCAGTTGTGGGAAACATTATTATAGTCATGAATTCCAAACAGAATTGATAGTATTCTTTGGAACAAGCCACAATCTTTAAACTGGTATAAAAGTGATGTAACACTTCTGTAAACAGATCCTGATGAATTTACAGCACTTTGAACTATTATGACTTCTTCAAAATGATCTTGTGAATTGCTTGCTGAGGATGTTTGTCTTTTTAGAAATCCTAGCTCCCTTGGAATTTCAGGAAAGAATAAGATTCCTTAGGAAAAGAAAGACTGTTTAATATGTTAAAATCTGAAGTGCAAGTGCTTGTTTTGCAAAGAATCAGTTTTACTGCATGTTATTCACTGGAATCAAATGGACACTGATTTGATTTATAGACTGAAACCTAAAAATACAAACTCATTTCTGGATCAGGATTCCTTGACTGGCTATTCTGGGATAAGAATGTGAACTCCGCCGATGTATTAAACTAAATACATAGATAGCTTTTATGAAGCTATGTGCTATTGGAATCTGTATGTTGAGATCTGTGACCTATTTTATACATGAACATTAACAAATAATATTTATCCAAAATAAAGCCACTATCATTCCCAAATCATTATATATGCCAGTGAAGGCGAACCTTTTAGAGACTGAGTGCCCAAACTGCAACCCAAAACCCACTTATACATCGTTGAGTGCCGGGTGGGTGTGGCCCATTGGCTGAGTGTGGCCCATTGGCTGGGCATGGCTGCAGTGGTAACAGCAGACTGGGTGGAATTAAAAAGTTCAATAAATCAATTCCAACTTTGCAAGATCTTTTTTTCCCGCGAGAAGTTGAAATTGACTGATTGAACCTTTTTTTTTTTTTTGCACACATGGCAGAGGCCTAAAGTGAAAAGATTTTATAAAACCCAGCTGAAGGCCTAGGACTGGGGCGATGGCGCACGTGCCCACAGAGAGGGCTTTGAGTGCCGCTTCTGGCACCTGTGCCATAGGTTCGCCACCACTGATATATGCCAACAAAATCTTAAACAAGATTCTTCATCCATTTTAACTAAAGTGTCGCACTAGTGGAAACTATCTTAAAGATATCTTTTATTCAGAAATGTATATATATGTGTATTACACCTTTGTGTACCTGTATGTATGTATGTATGTATGCAGTGCTTTTTTTCTCATACAATGTCCAGAACAGAGTTCTGGCACCTTTTTTGGATGGAACCTTATAGGGTAGGCAAGGCGGGTTGTATGACATGTGTGAGTTCCGGCACCTTTTTTTTTTTTTTTTAGAAAAAAAGCAATGTATGTATGTAAATATGTAAATTTACAAAAAGACATATCTGGGAAAGGAGAGAATCAAGATATAATAATAATAATAATAATAATAATAATAATAATAATAATAATAATAATACTGTGCGATGATCGATAATAATAATAATAATAATACCCTGACATCTGTTTGGCAACAAGCTGTATAGTCAATTCCTGTAGCAATTTATGACCAATGGTGTAAAACAATATTCATTGATCTGAAAAGACCCTAAACCTCTTGTAAAAAGATAAAAAGGAGCAGGATAAGTTGCCCATAAAATCAGTTGATAAAATCAATTGCCCCCCTATCTGAAAAAACTGTACTTAATGAAGAAATACTTACATGCACATATTTCCCATCATTTTTCTGTTGTAAATAATGAAAAAAGAAAAAATACAAGAATGGAAGGGATTAGATAACTATACCCACCAAATAATTAAACATTTGCCTCTACTTCCTTCCTGAGCAGGTGATATATATGTGCACTGTTAAAATCAGACTAATAGTAGAAGTTGACATGTATCCCTATGAATTAGGCAACAGTGATTATTCCAGTGATTTCCCAATAGAATGCTGATTTAAACCAGGCATGTTAAGGTTTAGAGGTATTAAAGGAATATGGAATGGCTGTGATAATATATTCTGCTATGTGATAAATTATGTAACTTATGTTGTTGTTGTTAATTGCGAAGTCGTGTCCGACCCATCGCGACCCCATGGACAACGTTCCTCTAGGTCTTCCTGTCCTCTACTATCTTCTGGAGTCCATTTAAGTTCACACCTACTGCTTCAGTGACTCCATCCAGCCATCTCATTCTCTGTCCCATTCTTCTATTGCCCTCAATCTTTCCCAGCATTAGGCCCTTCTCCAATGAGTCCTTCCTTCTCATTAGGTGGCCAAAGTATTTGAGTTTCAACTTCAGGATCTGGCCTTTTAAAGAGCAGTCAGGGTTGATCTCTTCTAGGACTGACCGGTTTGAACGCCTTGCAGTCCAAGGGACTTGCAGGAGTCTTCTCCAGCACCATAGTTCAAAGGCCTCAATTCTTTGGCGCTCAGCCTTTCTTATGGTCCAACTTTCACAGCCATACATTGCAACTAGGAAAACCATGGCCTGGACTATACGCACTTTTGTTGGCAGGGTGATGTCTCTGCTTTTTAGTATGCTGTCTAGATTTGCCATAGCTTTCCTCCCCAGGAGCAAGCGTCTTTTAATTTCTTGGCTGCAGTCCCCATCTGAGGTGATCTTGGAGCCCAGAAAAATAAAATCTGTCACTACCTCCATTTCTTCCCCATCTATTTGCCAGGAATTGAGAGGGCCGGATGCCATGATTTTGGTTTGCTTAATGTTGAGTTTCAAGCCAACTTTTGCAC